GGGGGGGGTAAACAAAACAATCATTCAGAATAATGGGCCGCTGATCCAATGCGTGTGAACTCCATTTAGAAGGTAGAGACTTGGAACGTAACAAAATGTTTCATGACTTCTTAGTCGACATGAGAGGTTACTCTTTCTCAGAAGTACTGTGCACATTACACAAATACGTCATAAATGTGTATAAAAAATTAGAGTTGTTACTAGATTTGATTGTTTGTTTGTATTTGGTTTGTTTGTTGGTTGGTTTATTTGCTTGTTTATTTGCTTGTTTGTTTGCTTGTTTGTTTGTTGCTTTATTTGCTTGCTGGTTCGCTTGTTTGTTTGAGTAAAGAGAATCATATCAACACATTAATGGTTATTTGGTGCAAGGAAAGTTATGAAGTAGGACCTACTAGTGGCGCATTCCAACTACCTGCTGGTGTTAATAGAAAGGAAAATACAAAGAAAAAATATTTTTAGAAAGAAGGAGAAAACATGAGAACGACGACAGATGTTCGATGGAAAGAAAGGAGAAGGAGCAAACTACAGCAGCAGACCACCCACTAACCAACCAGGTGGCGTAACAGCAACAGTAACAGCTTGGATGGACATAGAGGACTCACCAGAGCTGTAGCTGTCGGTTGAGGACTGGGACACGGAGCGGCTGCGTATCCGGGGTCTGTTCGGGGTCAAGTTGTACTTGATCTCCTGCAAAACGAAGAAAGAGAGAAAAAAGTTATGTCTAGTTTTAGTTTCAGTAGGTTTTACGGCGCTCGCAACTGCATAAGGTCATATGAGTGCTAAGCGGTGGATGTCAACAGAGAAGTCCAAACGGGGAATCAGGCTTACTGTGCTCACCTCTCTAGCCTCAGCAGCATAAAGTCTGCTTTGACTATCAAGGCACCCCTGAAATAGCAATTCACAAGAGAGTGACAAACATACAAAAGAAGTAGAAGGAAAATGACGATAGTAAGCATGAGGAAAGAAAAAGCAGAACTTCCCCCTATGTTGTTCTGGCACAGTATGAGCATGACATTGATAAATCAGCCCATTTACAATTCCACTGTGCATAATATAATATAAGATCATGGTAATATCCTCCCTTTGGCAATGGCCTAAAGACAACATCAGTCAGTAGCACTGCCCTGGTGGGGGAAAAAAGTTATAAACAAATAAATAGAAATCAATTTTTTTTAAATATTATTGCTAGTCTAGTGTTGTTGTTGTTGTTGTTGTTGTTTGTTAATGGCGCTGTTGCCAAGCCGATGCAGAGGTCGTTGTCATTGTTCGTTCTTCAAGAAGCTTGTGGGTGGGTGCGCTGACGGTCTTACTTGTCATTCATGCACGACTCTCTGGGTGGGTCGAATTCTCAACATGGAAAAATAGAGGAGGCATCAGACTGGAAATGGAAGTGGGGTTAAAAGGGGAGGAGGTTGGATGAGAGAGAGAGAGAGAGAGAGAGAGAGAGAGAGAGAGGACGGCAGAATTTACAGTGAGCTCAGTAGAAACCAGAGTGAGAGCATCTGTCAGAGAGCTAGTGAGCTCGCCTTTGAACGCAACTGTGTAAGATTTTCAGCCTTCAGGCTGGGATTTTAATGCAGTTCTTCTAAGTTCGGGATTCTACACCAACAAACCAAGAAAAATAGGATCCTGCAGTACTGTTAAGAACGTAAACCTCAAAAATATATAACGTGCAATAAAGAAGAACTTGCCCACGACAAATGCTGTGTACTTCCGAGACGGAAAAACATCAATGTGTTTAGTTTTAGTAAGAGTTTTACGGCACTTGCAACATCATAAGGTCATTTAAGTGCCGAAGATTAGAGGTGTCACAAGAGAGTAACAAACACAAAAAAAGAAGGAGGGGAGATAACGACGATAGATGTTGGATAGGAAAGAAGAAGCAAACCCACTCACACATCAATGTGTGGAAATAAAGGAATGCATTGAATCTATGGAAAGCAAAAAGGGGAAAACATAAACATTGGCCCGTACACAAAGGCATGGTTTTCAACCTGCAAGCTTATGATTAGGGTTCAGTTCCCGGGTAAGAAGCTGGCTGTATCTCTAGTAAAAATATTTTTCCTTGTTTCCCTCAGGTCCAACAGCTGCAAATGGATATAACGAGAGAGATGAGTAATCTTGTCCTGTATTATGTATTTGTTGAAGACGGAAAATGTTAACTCTGAAGGGTTAAGAGGTTGTTTCGCTGTATGCCCACAAAGGACCTAAGGGGACATTTTAAATGTACGGATAAACCAAAACAGCAGATGTTTTACTATCAAACAAATGATCAATAGGAATAAAACAAGACTAAATAAAAACTAACATTCTCACTCTCACTTCTACGCACACCTAGCCTACAAGCTCACAAATACAAGCAAGCACATAGATCTTAGATCTACATAAAGACAGTGAAGACTTAAAAAATAATATCTTCAATCAGCGGTCCGTCTGCCTTATGGCAGATTCACGTTGTCCAATGTAACAACAGTACGTCTTGTATTTTCACAAAGATGTGAGTGGTAAGGGAAACCCCGATACCATTCAGGATAAAATGCGTGTCCCAAACCCGAGAGTAAAAGGAAATAATATCCTCATGTCTACAACAAGTGAGATAATGATGAACACTATGAAAATGAAATAACCATCGACTGAAATTTTGGCTCGTGCATCTGCTGTAAGGAATTCATCTGGTATGAGGAGGGAGACATACACATTCTTGAAATATTAAAGCAGATGAGTTTGCATATAGGTTTTAAACTGAGCCAAAATGCCCAAAGTTACCAAGAAGGGGCGTAAAGCGCATCGTGTTTGCCGAAATAATACATGGTCTGAGCTTCCGTATCCAGCTCTTGTTGAAGTCTATCGGAATCTGCATGACAAAGACAGAGTTGCCGCTGCGCAGGTAATGACAACTTGCTTTTAGCCCTTCTTCCACGAGCTCCCTGGTTTGTTGCAATAGACTCCTAACAGTTATTCGTGTCTTTACATTGTTTTTGTCGCAGAGTGTTTGTGCGCGTGTGTATGACGTGTGTGTGTGTGTGTGTGTGTGTGTGTGTGTGTGTGTGTGTGTGTGTGTGTGTGTGTGTG